TCGTCAACTTTGAAGAGTTGTTGAAGACATGCTTTTATAAAGCTGAAAGTCCAATGCTTGAAGACTGTGCACTGCTGTGTAACTGTAGCCTTTTGTCTTCTATTGACTCTAGCTTTCCCAGAAGAGGAATGTTCAGACAAATCATTTTTGTCTGATTTCTTGTGCCATACACAAATAAGGAAAGAGTCTTTTGGAATATGCCAACAGATATATCGTTGAATAATATCTTCTTCAACAAGCTTCTGCCTCAAAGTTATAAACATCAGAGTCTTGAAGTGATCAGAGTCTTGATGTTATCAGAGTTTTGCAGCCAATGTGCTTCAGCGTGAGTATCTCAATCTGAGCAGAGTTTGAATATCAGAGCCTCTGTACTTGCAGCGTAAAGTACTTCCAGAGTCTTCTGAAGCAATGCTTGAAACGCTTCATACAAATTCTTCAGCTACGCTTCAGAGTCTTCTGCAGCTTCTACTTCAGAGTCTCTTCTGGCAGCGCTCAGAGTCTTCTGATGAGTTGCTTTTGACGCTCAGAGCTTTGCGTAGTGTAATGTTCAGATGCATTTTTGCTTCCATGAGAATATTTAATTTAATATCTGAAACAAAAACACTTGAAAAAAATTAGAGTATATATTTTCTTAATACAAAATTTCATTAGTGTTATCATCAAAACATAGATATATATTAAACATCAATCTGTGTTCTAACACACACCACTTGAAACTCTTTCAAATGTTTGTGAGGATCTTCACCTGCAAGACCACTAAACTTGGGCAACAAGTGTATTAAACCCGATTTTAATTCAAAAGGAACAACAACATCGTTATATTCAATACATAAGCCATTATAATTCACATCAGGAGCAGCTAATTACCTTAAGGTTCTATTATCAGCCATTTCAAAATCAAGTTCAGTATCCGAAGCAAACAAGTTATGCAGATACTCAGACTCAGACTCAATTGTGGGTGGTAAGCTAGTGGTAGTCTGGACTGTTCTACATCGTGTGTTCAAGGTTCTCTCTACTTCAACAAGTTCAGAACAGCAAGACCTAGTTGCCAGGACTAATGCACAACAATGCAACAACAATATTCGAAATGCCAACAATGTTCCTAAAAGTCAAAAACGAACACAAAGAAGGGAACCGATCAAAATAAATTCAGAAAAATAAACTGACACTGAAATTAATCTAATGACTTAAAATTATAATTTTGAGAATTTTTTCGATTTTTTTCGACTCTATGAAAACAGTAAAAAAATTCATTAAAAATAGAAAAATGATGAATTTGGGATTTTGAAACAATTCTCCCGTAACTACTTTGTAGTACGGGACAAATGACCAGAGAATTTTTTTGCTTCAAATGCCCGGAACAGATTTCGATTCGGACGCAATTTTTCCAAAAACCGATTTTTTCGACTCTAGAAGCGAGAAGGCCAAAAACGTGGGGAACCTAGGGCCTAAGCGCAACAACACTAAACCTATGACTCTAATATCGATTAATAACGACAAGAATCCCCGACAACGGCGCCAATTTGATCTGCTGTCGCGCGCGGATCAAAACGAGTGTTTTTGTTAAAAATTCAGTACAACGACAGTAACTCGAAATATCGTTCTCACCACAAGGATTCTTGATTATTACTAATCGAATAAAAGGGTGGGGGGTTGGTCGTGTTCGATTGAGAAAGAGTAATTAACAAAAGTGATTATTGAAATAAGTTGTTGTGAAATAAGTGATTATGAAATAAGCCAATCTACCGATTCGGTTCCTACTATCATCGATTGTTATAATTTTAATATCCTAAGCGTTCATTCCTATCTGGATACAAACTTAAAGACAAGCGCGATAAGGTTTGCAAGATGTATGATCCTATTGTCCGAATTAAGCAAACGGTATAAATTTTCATGAATAAACAAACATGATTATTTAGACACAAAAACGAATTAAACAAACGTAAAAGTGTCTATGTTAGGATCATACTATAATTATTTCCTCTGATATATATATATATATATATATATATATATATATATATATATATATATATATATATATATATATATATATATATATATATATATATATATATATATATATATATATATATATATATATATATATATATATATATATATATATATATATATATATATATATATATATATATATATATATATATATATATATATATATATATATATATTGATTAATTAATATATATAATAATTATTCACATTATCATTACTATTGAGTTGTGTACAAAATAACAGGACAAAAAAGTATATTAAAAAAAATTTATTAATGATACGAAATTGAGTCCAAAAAATCATAAAATGTAATTAGGATAATTAAAGTATAAAAATTGATAAAATATCAATTAAAGATATATGTATAAAAAAAATGAAACCACAGATTCCCAATTTTCTCATATATTCACTTTTCGATGTAGAAAAAACAAATTTGAGTACGACAAATTTCACCTATGACAATGCATAGATCGATTCACTTAGGTGGTTGTAGAGGTGTGAGGGATAAATAATGGATTAGAGTGTTGAATATTTAAGTAAAACTAAGACTAGAATGTATGTTTTGTGAGAAGTTAGAGATGGAAGGAGATAGGAGCTTAAATAAACTTCTGACAAAAGCCCGACCTTACATTAACTTCAAGAAGTCCTAATTGAGAAAGTGGAAAAGTGACGAGGGCGAAAAATCACAAGTAACCGACCAGCTAAAAAGAACCATAAGTTAAGTATGGAGAAGGAAGACAAGAGGCACAAGCCCTCCTCCATGCTTAACATATCAATAGAAAAAGATCTTTCAGGAGTGCGCCAACCCCGACTTCAAGGAAATTAGGATAAGAAATCTATTAGTTATGACCGATAAGATAAGGTTCTTCCCTTTCTATAAGAGTCAGGCCATAACACTTGAGAATTGATTTTGATTTCCTTGTTAGAAAAAAAAAACACACAAATTGAAGAAATAAAAGTTAAAATATTTTCACATGTGTGTTTGATATCGTGTTTGGAGCATCTAAAATGAGTTCTAAACGTATAGAATTGATTTTAACATGTTTGATCCAAAATGAATTATAAACATATAGAATTGATTTTAACATGCTTGATTGCTTTCTAATAGAATTGATTATACTCAAAAGATAATATTTATAACTTTTTAGTCTAAACATAATTTTTACACAAATCCATATAGTTCAACTCACTTTTGAAAGAATTTATCCAAACAAAAATCACTTTCATCTTCAACTCACTTTAAGTTTGTGTTTAGTTCTATGGTAAGATAATTGATTATGAATTAATTAGTTTTATAGAATTGATTCCGTTGAGTTGGATTTAAAATGATTAATATTTGAATAAAATTGAACAACAAATTTTAGTATAATTTAAGTTCCGCCAAGTCTTATCTTTTTTATTTTAAAAAATCTACAATTGAATTACGGCAAATTTCATTTGATAACTAAAATAAATTTCGGCAAATTTCATTTGATAACTAAAATAAACTTCGTTACAAAACAAGTGAAAGAATATTTCCCATCCACAATTTATAACCAACACGTAATCAGAACTTTAACAAACCAACATCTTAATCTTAAAAACCAGATCAAAGTTATGACTAATGACCAAGGAAAAAGTTCCATAAGGTCAAACATTTATAGGACTTTTAAACAAACATCATAGAACAAACCTAAAAATAACAAGATATACAATAAGCAAAATAGAAGAAACATAAATAAAAAAAAAAACATCAAACAAATAGATTCATAAAATACAGATATTTAATCTTAAACCATGGAAATGGCGTGGAGACCACAATCATTGGTGTCTTCATTGGTGTTGAAGGCACCAGTGAAGAGGTGGCGGGAGTTTTGGGTATTACCATGAGAGATTGGTGAAAGTCTTCAATCTGGTGTACTTAAGGAGAATTGAGCTCGAGTAGCAAATCCCCAACACAAGGGAGCATGCCTCCAAAATGAGAGGGGGGAAATTTTAAGAAGTTTAAAGTTGTGCCAAGAGGGATGAAACTCTAGAAAAGCCTTTCAGTTGGCAAAGGAGAGAGACATACTGAAAAATTACATTAAACTTTTTCTCAAAATCTCAGCTCTAAGATCAGTAGTCATTCCTCAACATAAGAGCCAATTTTTTTGGCATATAAACAAGACGACATGAAATTGGGAGTCTATAACGCCAAAGCAAATCCCTCTCGGGAAAAGTGAGAGGGAAAAGAAAGTGAAAGTGTGGATAATAGAAAATGAGATGATCATATAATACAACTCTTTGATAGATGGTTAAATGACAAGAAAATTTATCAGCCAACAGTTATACTAATATAAATCTAACTCGTGACATCATGGTTTAAGGATCTAAATCAACATTCTATCAATAATATAAACAAATTAAAGATGATGCTTTTACACTTTTTACATAGCTCTTGGTGAGAGGAATATGTTGCCAAGTTTAAGACGAAACAAACAAGGAAACTTCATCTTAAATTAAGTAAAAATAACAATATACCATTAATACATGTATAGATTTGATTAAATTTATATTACCTGTTGTCTTCTTGATATAAATTCTTCTTTTATCTGCAGTTTGAGACCAACTATATGATGGATTTAATTAAACAAGCATGACAGAGACAGTATGTTCTACAAACATTACACCAAAACTATCACCAACATATAGTACTCACATGAGATGCGTTGCGTGTCCACCTCTACATCAAATGAAAAGGCTCCTCGCCCTATTATACGATTCAAACAGGAAAATGAAATCTAACATATTTTATAACATAGAAAATTCACGATATCATAATATCAAACAACGGAAGTTTTTTTAATTATTAATTATCTGATTTATTTGGCAGTGAAGTACAAATAGAACAAAAATGGATATCCATCCCAATGACAAAACTAGAGAGAAAAGGACATCCAACAAATATATCTAATTGCTTTTAAATCTAGAGTTAACTGTGATCTTTAACAGAATGCTAATCAATACTATTTGGCAGACGCAGGGCTGGATGAGAGTCTTTGGCTCCTTGCTTTATCAGCTTTTTCCAAGTAATCTTGATGAGACTGATGTTTTGATCCTGCAAAGAAATAGAAGGTTAACAGATTAAGAAACAGATGAAATGTTTATATGGAAACTCAAAATCAGGATCAATTTGTTCTTTAGAAGTTTGGATTATAGACCACAAATTCATTGTCTACAAATCTAGGTTTAGTAGAACACAAATTCATTGTTTACAAATCTAGGTTTAGTAGAACACAAATTAGGATTATAGAACACCAATTTAAATAGACAAAAAATAGGACCAAATAATGATAGAACACAAAAATACGGCGATGCAGCTGTACAGATTGTATTCTCTGTCCAAGGTACAGAATAGGAACAATCTCTTTTCCTAGTTTCAGACCCTACTATAAAAAATACAACTCACTCTATCAAATATATAACTCAAATCGTCTCATTTTGAAATATTTTCATAATTATTTGTCATTATAGAATACTAACGAAGTATACTTGTACTTTTCCACTAAGCAACACGATTATTTATTGTATCTCGGTTTGCCTAACTACTCTATTTTACTAGCTAGTTTATTAATAAAGATATTTTAGTCAATGAAGCTCTTATTCCATAAAAATTAGTAGACTAATGATTTTCTTAAGTCTACATAATCTTAAAAAACACTTAATATGAGACTGATCGAGTAATAAATAATTACAGAAGCTCTTTTTTAATCCTTACTGGTTCATAACCACCATTAAATTCCTAATAACTGCCGTTATACAATCCTGTTTCTAAGTATTTCCTAACCACACCTGACATTCTTCCTATTGTTTCCTATGCTGACTTGTTGATTCATCGTGGTTTGACTCTCACAGAAGTTATAAAAAGTAGTAACATTAGGTTGAAAATTTTAAACCAAATTTCACATCAAACTTTCTTTTAGACTACATTCAAAAAATAAATCACTACATTTCAAACTCAGATTTAACCAGATCAATTTTACAAAATCATGTTCATCCAAACTTTTAGTATTGGAGTGATTAGGAGCAAGGTAGTCAAGCACGAGATCTTAAGTAGGGAAAAATGGTAACTTTATATATATATATTTGAAGCCATTGCAGAGGAGAGAAAAAAGCCTTAAGAAAATCGATGGGAGAAGATGAACACGAATATTGATGGTAGAGGGGGAATTGGTCGTCACCATCGCCGCGGAGAAGATTAATGGCGTATTGACGACGATAACAAGGGGCAAGAGGGGAAAACGTAATGGGGATTGGAAGATGAAGCTTGAAAGTTGCAGAGGTACCAGCACCTAAAGTAAAAGATGCATTCGTTTCTGTTTTAGGGTTACGAGGGAGAACCTAATTGAAATAGTAATCGGGTTTTCACTTAAAAATACCCGACCAAGACAGCCCAAAAAAACAGGCCCAACGCTATTTTTTTACGATCTTGTTCAAGAAAGCTTAATCTTGACCACGCCGTGCACGAAAAAAGATCTTTCTCTGATCGTAGTACTAAAAGGCAACCTCAGCACGTAAGATCTTAAGATCCAGCACTCGACCTTTTGAAGCACTCGACCTTTTGACTACCCTGATTAAGAGACCCTCCTAACAATTGCTTTCTCAAGGAATAGAACTTGATTCTGCCCTATAGTATGTTTTCTTTTCATAGAAAAACTTTTATTGCAACCAAAAAAAAAGTTAGAGAGAGAGAGGAGGTAAATGATATGAAATACAATTTATTAACTTGGAATGTTTTAGTGTATGTTTGCAAATTTGAATTTGAATGATTTCGATTTTGCAAAGTGATTTATGTCTGGAAATGTTAATGATAAAATCCGAAATTTAATATGGAATTCACAACTCAATGCACAACCGAATTGCTTGAAGAACTTCATTTACTCATGAATCTCAGTGAAGGTGCCGGTTATATACTCAGGAAAAACAAGATAACTTACACAATTTCAATAAAGGCAGTTGCAGAGGGAGACATACATAAATTCAGACCTAAGAAGATATACATCAACTAAGCTAACATATCTTAAAAACTTGGAAACAAATAACTTGAAAGGAAGGAACGAACCTCTGTTCATGAGAAACCATGGTACAGAAAAGACGGCGGTGATGAGAACTAAGCCAGCGAAAACGTGCTTCTTTTCGCCGCTGTAGAGGGCGTGATTCAATTTTGACCTAAATCCTCCACTGACTTTACCACCGTCGATCTTCGTTTTGCCTTTTGCTTCGTTGCTCATTTTTTCTTCACACCTGATTTAATTCTTTCTTCAGCTGCTCCCAAATCAAACAAGCCCTAACATTTTGTTGTTATAATTAAAGTTTAATTATTTTATTTTACTCTATTTTCATTAAAAAAATTAATTTATTCTCTAAAGTTAATTTAAACTTTAAAAAATATAATGCTAACTTGGTTTTAGAGGCACAAATTAAAAACTAAATGCAAAAATAATATCTTAAAAATTATTTCTAATAAAAATAAAAATTTAATTTTTTATTGATGTTTCCAATATAAATGTTTTATAAATATTTTTCTTAACTTGTGCCCCTAAAACACAAGTTAACATTACTTTTAAAGAATTAATTTATTTTTTAAGTATCTCTAAATTTATTAATAATTTGTAAGTATATATTTGACATACTCCTTCCACGACACACCTGTGACAAATATCATATAGAATTCTCTCAATTTCTCTTATAATTTCAATTTGATAAAATTTTATTTATCGTTTTACAAAAATTAAAATTTGTTAAAGAAAATGTTAAATATGCAATATTTTGTGTTAAATATGTTAAAAGTCTCGACAGAGTTAAATTTAACATTTATTTTGTTTTATTATTCAATTAATTTGAGATTACTTTGTGTGCAACTCATCTATAAATAAGGAGGTACCTTACTATTGTAAGAAAGACTGCAAAAGAGAAATTTAGTGAGAATAAACACATAGATAAATTCTGCAGAATTTGATTCATATTTTTCCCCTTTCCCCCAAAACCTAATTTATCTTTTCTTCTCAAATTTACTTTCATGAATTTCTTTTCTTTCAAATCATTGTGCGGCAGAATCATCTTGCAACCAAGAAGTGGTTGAATCACTCGAGTGAATAGTGAGAAAAGAGAGAAAAGATCAATCAGAAAGATTGATTCTCATTTAATTAAGATTGATTTGAATTATCTCTAAAATTTGGGTTAATTCCAACATCTGATATCTAGCGCACTCACTGCGATCCTTGAGAAGCATATGCAATGAATCATTTGAATGAACATTTTTCAGCAAATCTTCCAATCTTAAATGGTAAGAATTATGAGAATTGGTACAAGAGATAAAGGTTGTTTTCTGTTATCAAGATCTTTGGGATCTTATGAAGAACGAAGTAACACCAGTTGGAGAGAATGTTACGAATAAACAAAATGATGCACACAAATATTTATAGAAGAAACATTATAAAGCTCTCTTTGTAATCCATCAATGTGTTGATCTAAACAACATTGAGAAACTTGGTGATGTAGACTCAACAGAGGAAGCATGAGACATCTTGGAGAAATCATTTGAAGGCGTTGAAAAGGTGAGGTTACAAACTCACAAAAGAGCGTATTAATTGCTTCCAATGGAAGAAAGTGAAAGCATCGCTGATTTTTTCACTAGGGTAACAAGATTGGCAAATCTAATCAAGATGTGTGGAGAAGTATTGACACTAAGATTTGTAGTTACAAAGATCTTGAGGTCATTGACTCTAAAATTTCTTCAAGTGGTAGTAGCCCTAGAATAATCGAAGGATTTATCAAGTATGATAAAAGAAGAGCTTCAAGAGACCCTTGAATCTCATGAACAAAGAATGATTGAAATATTTGCAAGCAAGACAATGAGCGATGTATTATAAACAAGTTTTCGTTCATTTACAGGATTAAACTCGAAAAAATCTTTGGACATATTTGTGTAAAAGATTTGAGAAAATATTTGTGCTTTGAATATTAATGTTTGGATGTCAAGAATTTTGTACTGGTAAAAAAGTATAGGTGTGTGTGTTCCTCTTGCAAGGGCAGAGAGAATCATAGGCCTTAGTAGGTGTATAACACGTTTTGGTGGTGAGAGCTTGCTCAAGGCGGAGAAAAGGTATGTATGATGGTATTTGAGGTTATTTAGGGGACCAGTTCATGTGAGGTGAGATCCCCTGAGTGGTCAGCGTAACTTGATTGTAGGCGGGTGGTTAGAATAATCGTATTATGGTTACAATGAACATGATTCTATTTTAGGTTGTGGATTATGTATATGACTTAGAGTCTGTCTATTATCGCCTGAGGGGTGACATATTTATAGGGGCCTTTATGACCTAGGTTTTCTTGAAAAATGTCACCCACCTAGTCAAATAATGGACAGTTGAATCCCTACTTCTAAAGGAGATGTAAGTCAATAATGAGTCAGGGGATATGAGGCTTGTCATGAATGCCTATTTCGCATATCTTCTTTGGGCGGATCTGGAGATGCCCTTCCTAAAGATACCTCTGACAATGGTGTTGGCTTTGTAACGTGCGAACCTATTAGTCAAATCCGAAAAAGGGGGATGATAGGGTTGGAGTGAAAAGTATGGGCCATGTTGGTTTTACCTTGGCCTTACGGTGGGCGCTAGTTACTGGTTAAAACGTACAAGTGTGAGTGTTCCCCCTGTAAGAGCAAGGAGACTCAGAGGCCTTAGTGTGTGTATAATACATTTTGGTGTTGTGGGCCTGCTCACAGAGGCGAGAAGTCCTATTTGATGGTGTTTGAGGTTGTTTAGGGGACCAACTCATGTGAGGTGAGAGACCTTTTTGGTGGTTGACGCTACTTTATTGTAGGAGGACAGTTAGAATAATTGTGGGTTATGGTTATATGTAGTGTGATGCTCTTTTAGGTTTAAAAACTATGTGTATAACTTATAATTTTCCCTTTATCCCATTAATGAGTGACATATTATAGGGGTCTCTATGACCTAGGGTTTTCTCAAAAAGGGCCACTACCCACCTAGTCAAATAATGGACAATTGAACCCATACTTCCGAAGGACATGTGAGTCACTAATGACCCTACATTTCTTTTTATCCAAGATACATCTTATCCCACATTTTTCTTGTATTGGCGAGGAAAAAATCAAGGGCGAGGCGATACCTCCCTCTTGGCGACCTTTTGTCATCGCCTCTCCTATAACGGTTCCAGGGCATCTCCCTAGGCAAGGTCTTTTGCAAATATAACACTACAAATTTAAATATAAACTCTAACTGAAACAATGCAAAATAACTTTGAAAATAAAGAGAAAACAAAGAATATAAAAGATAAATTTTAATGTTCCAAGTCTATTTCTTCTAGCAGATCCTGTGGATTCATTTTGTTGATAGACACCACTAGATCCCTCTTGAAACCCAAAGGCTCATCATCATAGATACAATCAAGCCTCTGGTCTTTCAGACCATCCCTCTCTAATCCTGTTGGTTGCAGTTCTTCGACAAACTACGGTTTACATTCATTTTATTGCCTATTTTAAACACTTCTATCTTGTTGACTTCAACATCCCTGTGTGGTGCCTCTTCTTCCAAAGACACTTGTAGCCTGTTCTCGACCACATATGCCACGATTCGAGCTAACGCTTCAAACTCAATCATTATCACCAAATTTGTCTCCCTAGCATGTTGGCCGGACTCCATTCGTATACCAAACTTTCTCCCCTATGACCTTTCGTCCTCGGGTAAACTAGTGGGTGGGGTGAAGGTTCAAGGAGAAAATGCCTCCTCTAGAGGCTCATAGCCAGTTTCAGCTGGTATGCATGGTGCTATCTTCACCAAATTTTATTCGAAATTCCTTCTGCTTACATGGTTAACTTCAGCCATTGAGTAGCCTTGGTCTGCTTCGATATATTCGGCAATCCCATCTTCACGCTAGATAGTTATCCTCTAGCGTAGGGACGAAGAGACTGCCCATATGACATGTATCCATTTTCTTCCCATCAACAAGTTATAGCTAGCCCTTGCGACTATCACCATGAACACGGTAGTCGAGTAATAGACCTAACTGTCACATTCACCTGAACAGTCCCTATGGTTTGGCAAGTCTTCCCTTCATAATTTGAAAGGACCATATTGTGGGGCCTAAGTTCGGTGTCGTACATAGCTAACATAGGCAATATGAAATGTGGCATTAGGTTCACATCAGCTCCATCGTCGACTAGTATCTTATTAACGGTAGCATCTTCGATCTTAAATCTTATGAAAAAGGCTTCAAGTGGCACTTCACCCCTTCGTATGGTCACTCAAAGAAAGAACTTTGCTCTTCAACGCACTTGTTGTTCATAACAAAGTAGTAGACTGGCTTGTGTTTTTCCAGTTCTTCTTCCTCATAGTCTTCCTCTTCAGCGACCATACTACATAGGACATCGAAGATGCCTTCTGACCCAGAATCGAATTATCTGTTACCAACTCGTCTTCTTTGGCTTGCTCTTCACTGCTGATCTTTCTAGAGGGAAATAATTTCCTTCCAACTGGTTTCTTTGCCTGACAATCCTCAAACTTTTGCTGTGGCATGGTATTACTTGACCCAACAACACCCATTTCTGCCTTCTTTTTCCTCTGAAACCTCCGCCATTGGGTCCTAGTCATGAGATTCTTCCCCTTATAATTTGCAATAGGCCCATAGGAACGTCTTTCAGACATCTAAAAGTTCTCCTTGCATGTCATGGAGGACCCTCAACCTATTTCAATGTTTTTCCACTTTGGGTTCCTGTTGCATTCTCTTTCAGCATGCCTCGACCACTTCCCTAGGGGGGCGTCAGCTGAAGGCTTATATGTGTTTGGCTTCATCTTCTGTGATCTAGTTGCTTTATCCTTCCTATAGAGTGTACCTCCTTGCTAAAGTGGTACTAAGGTCAGAACCTCTAGTTGCCTTTAGCCTTTTGAGTATCTTTGACTTGCTTGGCAACTTTTTTGTCGAACAAAGCATTGCATCTAGGGCACAACATCACTTCGGTGTCATCAGCTTGACACCTGTAAAGAAATTTAATAAGATTTTCACCGGCTTTTGGGAACACGACTTCGATCTGGTTTTCAATTTCAAATTCTTTCATGTTAAAATCCTCAGAGATTTCGACCATATTGACCACAACAAGCTCAACATAGTTGGCATCTCAAATTTGTAAGGGATCAGCATCAATTTTCATTGGGGCCTTTCCTTTAGAAAACTTGAGCCTGCCTTCATTCAAAGCATTTTGCACAATATC